GCCACCCCTGGCCCCAACCGACACCGGCTGCAGCCCCAACCGACGCCAGCACTGGCCCCAACCGACACCGGCTGCAGCCCCAACTGACACCAGCACTGGCCCCAACCGACACCGGCTGCAGCCCCAACTGACACCAGCACTGGCCCCAACCGACACCGGCTGCAGCCCCAACCGACGCCAGCACTGGCCCCAGCCGACACCAGCTGCAGCCCAACTGCCCAGCTGTCCCCTCCCCGCCCCCCCCCAGCGTCCCTGCCTGGCATCCCTTGGCGAGGGCTGTTTGCCCACGCACCCACCACCCTAGCCAGACTCACAACACGGTGCCAAGGGCTGCCCTGTCCAAGGTGGGCAGGGTGCGTGGCAGGGGCTGCCCTCAGCTCTGCCAGGCTCCCCACCATGGCCCGGGTCTCTGCACGAGTGGGCAGGTGGCTGGACCAGCCTCCCCCAGCCCCAGCATGGCCAGCACGGTCTGCGTGCCTCCCGGCTTGTTTTTGGCCCCGACTTAGCTTTCGATTACGTTCCCATTTACAGCTGGTACCACCCAGGGGAGGTTTGATACCCCGGAGCCCAGCACAGGACCCCTCCCCTCCCCGGTGCTTGGCCATCTGGCAGCTGCCAGATGAGAGCTGGGATGTGAGCAGGGGGTACCCGAAGGGGTGCCCCACCACTCCCGTGTCTCAGGCCCCTCGCACCGGTGCAGTGTGTGCCGCTGTGCAGCCGGGGGTTCTGGCACTGCATGGTCAAGCCCGCAGGTCCCTGCAGGTGGGCAGCTGCCTCCCCTGCCCAGCCGAGCTCAATGCCAGCCCCACTGCACACCAGGCAAGTGGCACGCAGGATGCAGGACCTGGAGCTATCCTGACCCGGCATGGCCTCCCTGCACCCTGCGGTGAGGTCCCCGGAGAACCCTCCTGGCGGCCAGGGGGAAGGTGCGGGGAGCTAGCGAGGACACAAAGCACACAAACACCTCCCAGCGCACCAAGAAACGAGAGGCCTTGAATGGGAACAGGCAGAGACTCAAACCAGGACCATGTTGGCCGCAGCATTGCCAGCTTCATCCAATGTAGCATCACTGCGGGGCTGGGCACCGAAATCTTGGGGCTGGGAGAAGCGTGAACCCGGTTGCAAAGCCGGGGCACGGGGCAGGGGCTGGCAGCAGGGGGCCGGGGGCTGCTGCCCATCCTGCGCCACACACAGACCACA